AATATTACTAAATGAAAATATGACAGCTACGTTAGTCATTCTTGTGTAATAGCTCTCATTATTTGTTAGCTAGAACAGAGGCAGCAGACATTAACATAACATGGTAGAAATAAAAGCTAGCTAGTCTTTAAGGTAGACAAATAATGAAAAATCATAGAAATCACTGAAAGGTTCTGTTGGTAGTTAGCTAATATCTTCTAATTAAAATCTGATAGCTACATTAGTCATTTAGTCATCTATAATTAGTCATTAGTCATCAGCAGACGAAAGGTGAGACAAGATCCAGAGCCAGACTTAGAATCTCCATCCACCCCAAAGCACAGCTCTGATCAATTAGCACTGATTCTCAGAAAGATCCTCGACAAATCACTGAAACTGTGCTTCAAAACCTCAACCGTCATTCCAGTCCCCCAAAAAAACAACATTACTGGACCAGTAGCCCTGACCTCTGTATTCAGGAAGGTCTTTGAACGCCTGGTGTTAGCCCACCTGAAGACCATCACAAACCCTCTACTGGATCTCCTGCAGTTTGCATACAGAGCAATCAGGTCTGTTGATGATGTGGTCAGCTTGGCCCTGCACTTCATGCTACAGTGTCTCGCCAGACCTGAAACCTACGCTAGAGTTGTTTGAGGACTCAGCTCGGCATTCAACACCATAGTGCCAAAGCTGCTGCACGTCAAACTGTCCCAGCTGTCTGCGCCAGATCCCATCTGCTGGTGGAACATGGATTTCCTGACAAACAGGAGACAGCAGATGCAGCTAGTGAGACACACGTCAGACCCCCGGACTCTCAGTACCCTCTATTCCAGCGACTGTGTCTACAAGGAGCCAGCTGTGAAGACCCTCAAGTTTGCAGATGACACCATTGTGTTGGGCCTTATAGCCAAAAGTGATGATGCCTGCAGAAAGAAAGACGAGCATCTGGTCTCCTGGTGCAGCAGCAACCACCTGCTGCTCAGCATGGAAAAGACTGTAGAGATGGTAGTGGACTTCAGGCGCAACCCCCCTCCCTAGGCCCTCCTCAACATCAACAGCTCTGTGGTTTCCACTGCGGAGTCACTCAAGTTCCTGGACACCACCATATCCAGGAACCTGAGGTGAGAGAGGAACATGCTGTCCATCGCCAAGAGAGCTCAGCATGTTCTTCCTGAGACAGCTGAAGAACTTGAATGATGTAGGTCTACACAGTGATCGTCGAGTCCATCCCGACATCATCCATAACCATCTGGTTTGGTTCCTCCACCTCACAACAATGACTCCAGGGCATAATTAGGATGGCGGAGAGGATCGTTGGATGTATCTGCCAACGCTTCAGGAGATCTACAACAGCAGAGTGACAAAGCATGCTGGCAAGGTTACAGCTGACTCTCATCCTGAACGTCACCTCTTCCAGCCACTCCCCTCTGGTAGAAGATTCAGGGCCATCAAAGCCAGCACAGCCAGACATGCTAACACCTTTTTCCCCAGAGCTGTAGCGCTCATTAACCACAGTGGACACCTCGCACTTTAATTATAACCTGAAACCAACAAGCCCTCCTTACTGTCATACAGGTTGACTCCTCTGTAACATAATGCTTATTTGCTCAGCTGTGCAATAATATTCTATACAATCATATTCTGTATTTAATAGCTATTATTATATGTCTACTCAGACTTGCATATGTATAGATATTCATATCTGCATATGTACAGATATTCACACATCTGTTTAGCTCCTTTCACATTGGCTGTTTATTATTCTTTCTTATTCTTCATTATATTTAATGTATTTTTATCTTAGTTGTCCCTTAAAAGTCTTAAAAGTGCTTGTCTGGGCTAGTTTGTTATACAACCCCATTTCCAAAAAAGTTGGGACGCTGTGCAAAGTGTAAGTAAAAACGAAAAGCAGCGATGTTCAAATTATTTAAACCCTATATTTCATTGAAAATAGTACAAAGACAACAAATCAAATGTTGAAACCGAGAAATGTTATTGTTTTTTGAAAAATATTTGCTCATTTTGAATTTGATGCCAACAACACGTTCCCAAAAAGTTGGGACGGGGCAACAAAAGGCTGGTAAAGTTGTGTAATGCTAAAAAAATACACCTGGTGGTTGATTGGCAACAGGTCAGTAATATGATTGGGTAAAAAGAGCATCCCAGAGAAGCTGAGCCCTTCAGAAGTAAAGATGAGGAGGAGTTCACCACTCTGTGAAAGACTACACAGCAAATAGTGCAACAATTCAAAAATAATGTTTCTCAGCGTAAAATAGCAAAGAAGTTTTGCTTTTCATCATCTACAGTACATAATAACATTAAAAGATTCAGAGGATCAGTATTTGCTGGCCATGATCTTTGGACCCTCGGGCAGCTCTGCTTTAAAAACAGACATGATTCTGTAGTGGAAATCACTTCATGAGCTGAGAAACATTTCTGAAAAACACTGTCTGTGAAAGCAGTTCTTCACTGTATCCACAGATGCAAGTTAAAACTCTAAAACACAAAGAAGAAATCATATTGAAAATCATACATAAACAGGATTCAGAGATGCTGCCACCTTCTCTGGGCCTGAGCCCATTTAAAATGGACTGAGGTGAAGTGGAAAAGTGTCCTGTGGTCCGACGAATCAGCATTTGAGATTATTTTTGGAAATCATGGACGTTTTCCCCTCCGGGCTGAGGACCACTCAGCTTGTTATCAGTGGACAGTGCAAAAGCCAGTATTCATGATGGTGCATTATTGCACATGGCATGGGTGACGTGTACATCTGTGAAGGCACCATTAGTGCTCAATGATACGACGTCTTTTTTAGGCAAGGCCTTGCTTATTTGAGCAAAACAATACCAAACCACATTCAGCATGTATTGCAACAGCATTGCTCCATATTAAAAGAGTCTGGGTGCTAAACTGGCCTGCCTGCAGGCCAATGCAACTACATTAAAAGAGTATTAAAAGAGTCTGGGTGCTAAACTGGCCTGCCTGCAGGCCAATGCAACAACATTGCTCCATATTAAAAGAGTCCGGGTGCTAAACTAAACGTGTTGTTGGCATCAAATTCAAAATGGGCATTTTTGGAACTTGGAATTGGGGTTGTACATCATATGCATAATATATGACAGAAGCCTGTGACAGTTCTAAAGTTATCTGTTTATTTATTTACGTTTTTCATTGAAATGTTGGGTGGCATGTGCATCTCAGATGCTTCAACGAGCCCCTTCTCCTAAAGAATAAGCACCCTCTATGTGGACCACCAGTTGGCTTTGACCAAACTGTAAAAACAGGCCTGAATTCTGTCTGTACTTTAGAAAAACCTCCTTTTATTTGTTAGCTATGCTAGTCTTGAGTACTGAGCAGGTCTGAATGGGATTCTGGGAATTTTACAGCATGAAGGACAGAGCTGAGTGTGAATGTTTGTGGTGAGGGGTGAAGGGGGGGCTTGGAGGTTTTTGAATGCTTGCTGTAGTGAAGGGGGGGCTTGTAGGTTTTTGAATGCTTGCTGTAGTGAATGAACTGCTCTGGAAGTGTCAGGTTGTCCTCCTGCAGGCGTAAAACTGCTCTTCCGAAACACTCGGCTCACTCACCCAGAACTATCTGTAGCGCTGCTGCTGTGCGGCCGTGAAAGGGTAGCATATCCCCCTCCGGCCCCCCTCCAACTTTCTGCCCAAACATCCTCAAAATCCTTCCGTATCTCTCTCTCTGTCAGGCTCAAACTCAAAACAGTGTTATGGCCGTTACCATGTTAAGTTGCAAAGCTGCCAAAGCAAACCTGCATAAATGAAATGATCATACATCAGTCAATTAACCAGTGAGGCACATACTCACGAGAAAATGGGTCATAAAGTGCTTGTGAACTCTTACTCTGATTTCTTTCGGATTTCTCAGTCAGATTTCTGAGCATGTGTGAAAACGGACTGGAAATAAGCGAGCAGCGTCAGCACGAGACACAGCAAAACACTTTTCGAGCGAAGCTAAAACCAAATACATGTTTTACGAAATGAAGGATTTGAATATTCTTCATTTTCTAGATGATGTAAATCCCTTTTTTCAGGTAAAATGGTGCGATGATTAAAACAAAGCTGTGACAGAAGTTTGAATTTTATATTACATTTACATCTTGTGTTCTTCTGTAAGTTTATTGGCTGGTTGAAAAGCAGAAATCTGATTACTGTCTGACTCATGTAGACCTGGAGTTTCAAATCTGATTACTCAAGTGCGTGTAAATGTGTTACTCGAATTACTAACAAAATCTGATTTTCTGCAGTTATCAGATTATTAAATGCTTGTAAACGCACCCAATGATGTTGAGGTTTGGACTCTGGGGTGGTCAATCCATCGTTTCGAGAACACCATCAGCTTCTTTTGTTATATTTACAGATTTGTCTCCAGTTTTGAAACTGTTTTGTCTTTTTTTTTTTTGACCTTCCCATTTCTCTTAAAACTTAACGGTTGTTTTGACTGGAAATGTAAAGGGTACAGTACTATGAATGCAGCACTGGCTACTTGTGGGCAGAGCACGGAGAGATCATTTGTATTGTATATTACTGCATGTGGTGATTGCAGCAGTGGAAAACAGCATGTACGTGTGAAGTTTATGGTGTGTTTACATGGAAGGTGGCAGTTGGAGGGCTGGTGCCACCCGAGACCTGTAGTTTTCAGGACGCCCCTGGGTGTGTGGGCCAAACGAAGGCCAGCCTCACTCGGTCTGCAGAGGCACCTTTTTAGATCTTATCGTCATGAAAGGAGGGATTACTCATGGTCCCGCCGAGGAGAGGAGCAAAAAGTTCCGCCGCAGCTCCATCTACCTCCGCGAGGCCCCCTGAGCTTTGAAAATCAGTAAACATTTTAATCCGGCCTTCAGACAAGCCGCCGGCCCGAGTTTCCAGGTTTAGATGGCGCTCGGGAGAGAAGACGGAGAGAGGGAAGGAGAGAGGAGTGGGCGAGCGAGCCATTTTGGGGTTTTGTTAGTGTGTTACTGTACATTAGCAGAATGAATGTGACCCTTTGATCTTCTTTGGCAGGAATCATCTCTTACACGGAGTATCTCTTCCTGCTGTGCATCCTGACAAGTGAGTATTAACCTCTCTCTGTCGTCCTCTGTCTTTCTGTCCATTTCTGTCCTTCTTTTGCTGTTGTCTTCCTCTCCATTTGTCCTCTCTCTCTCACTTTGTCTATCTTGCCCCTCATTTTTTTCCTCTTTCTCAAAGCGACCAGCCTCCATTTCCTAATATAAAGCCGAATCCTGACTTATGGCTGTTAAAGTTTGCAGACAAGGCCCACCCAGACTATCCTGAGAGAGAGAGAGCTAGATAAATAACAGGTAAATGCTAAAACTCAAAAGGGAAGCCATGACAGGTCTGTTTATACACCCAGAATAACCATGTTAAACTATGTTTTAATGTCCCAGGAAACACAGTGTGAAATATTGTAGAAATAATGTGAAACATTGGCTTGATCAGGCCTGTCTGAGACCTACCTGGGTGTGGCCTAATATTCAAATGAGGATGCTATCCCGGATCACAGATGAGCTAGCTTGATGACTCAGTTATGCTTGCTAGGTTAGCTTTCGCTTGGTTGCTGGCTTTCTCTCTGTATGTTTCTCTGACAAACACAGAGACACTGCAGTGGGGGGGGGGCGGTTTTGTTAAAGCTGGGTGGGTGGGGCAACCCCTGTCAGCCTTGTGATTGGTGAGAATACTGCTTACGTAAGCCCCACCCCAAGATTAGGATTGCCCAGTTTACATCGAAAGAGGTGCATTTTAGCAAAACACATTGCCCATTTATTGGACTTGGGAAACACGTCATAGTTTATACATGTATATTGTGAACTTCAGTGTCTGAAGTTTGCTTCTAGTTTTATGCTGGAGCTAGGAGGCTAATGTAGCAAACAATTCATTTATCTTCTAAGCCGCTTATCCTCCTGGGTCGTGGAGGGTGCTGGAGCCTATCCAAGCTCTCAACGGGAAACATCCTGGACAGGTCACCAGTCCATGACAGGGCAGACACACACATTCACACCTTGAATTTAGTGTCTCCAGCTGGCCTGACTGCACATCTTTGGACTGTGGGAGGAAACCCACACAGACACAGGGAGAACATGCAAACTCCACACAGAAAGGACCCTGATCACCTGGCCGGGGATTCAAACCCAGGCCCTTCTTGCTCCTTCTTTCTAAAAGTTAGCCTCTTAGCATTGTGCTAACTGCACGCCTGAATCATCACACACTTGCCCCAAACCGTGTTGAGTTGTTCATTGGTTTCTGACACTGTACGACACACTGCTCTCTGTACATGTGGACAAAAGTGCAGGCAGACTTCTGATGCAGGGTTGCCAGCTCTCACAGTTTGGTCTTTCCTCAAGCTCTCAAAGAAACCTCAAGCCAGTGAATGACTGACAGACCTACGCGCTCAAAACATATACTCTTTGGCTGTGTTCACATTACCAGGCTGAAGTGGCACACATCCGATTTTTTGCCCTAATGTGACTCAGATCTGATGTTTTCAGGGCTGTGTGGACACAAATCTGATCTTTTCAAATCCGACCTGAGACACTTTCATATGAGGTCCTAGGTCAGATACGTATCCAATTCATGGCCATGTGACCTTAATGTGACGCTCAGATCGGAATTCATGTGCTTTTTTTCCACTGTGCGTGCGCCATCGTTCAGCGTTACCATGGCAGCAGCACCGAACAGAAGCTAAAACCTGTAAACAGTGGAAAAGCAGCTCATCTCACCTTTTTCTCCTCCGTCTCGCTCTAATAATGAAGCTGAGAGCTGATCAGAGTTAATGATCTTCACAGCGAAGCTTGTTCTGCTCGTTAGTTTGTGCTGATGATGAACGTGATTCATTCACGTGACGTTACTGAGTAGGATGAGCTCATGTGGGTCATTTCAGGACGCCGGTTCGTCACATTAATGACGGATTTGAATCACTTACCTAAACAAGTGTGAACCATCCTGTCAGAGGGATTGGATTTGAGAATCCCTCGGAATAGCATTTTATGCTACATGCTTGCATTACAACGAGTGATGCTTTTCAAGGACCTTAAAGTATTTCATTAAAAAATTATGCTAATAATAATAATGAGAAGAAGAAGAAGAAAAAAAAAAAGAAATAAGGCTAAGATTAAAAAATCATTTTTTATTTGATTGTTAAAGTGAAACACATCTTGACCTTCACTTATGGAATATTTGAATATTCAAAATAATACTCAATAGAATATTCCAAAAATGAAAATATTCAATAGTTGCAGCTCTACAACACTCCATCCCACAAACATAAGACGTGATAAATTCCTCAGCTCATATACTGACAGATATATTCTCGTCATCTCCCACAAATTCTTCTGTCAAATATGTACGTCAAAGACTTCACTTGATCATTTACAAGTGGCAATGCATGTTTATTTTGATCTGACAGACGAAAAAAGTCATTTGCATTAATTACACAAGTCGTTTACAGTGTGAAACTTTCATGCAACTTTAGTTGCTTGAAACCTACATGAAGCTACATGGTTTGAGCATAATGCAAAGCGTCCCGCAACTCACTTGAAACTCAGTCGGAACAGTTGCAGGCATCTTAACTTTGTGAATCTAGTTTCATTAAACCGCCAATCAGAACGATGGCAACACATCACAGGATCATGTCAACTGAGTTCACCAGATCAGTGGGCAAAAAAACAAACAAAAAAAAACAAAATGAAAGATGGTTTATTGGGCAGTTGAAATTGAGACCTTTGGGCCCAACTGACTCAAGGTTGGTAGTTTTTTATTTTGTCAGTTTTCTGAGCCAGAACAACATGAGTGCCTCAAAGCATTTCTGTAACCAGTGGAACTAACCCACCAGCTAATGCTAACAGGTATTTAAACAATGCAGTATCAAAAACACAAGCTGCTAATTTGGCTAACTAGTCAAATAACTGAATGTGTTGTGTGCCACTTTGAGTTGCTTCATGTTGCTGTCAAGTAGCACGGAAATTATGTTGCATGCAACTAGTTGCATGAAAGTTTCACTGTGTAAAGCCAACCTATAAACAGAAAACATCAAAAAATACATAGTCTACGTTGCAAGTTTTAAGTATATAATAATTAGTAGAAATTTTTTTGTTTAAATTATGTTATGGGTAGTTTGCCGCCTTAAGTGCTGGAATCTTGCAACTGTACAAAACGCAATGCACACTTTTCATGCTAATGTAAAGGCTACTTTATGTGACCGCTGGCAGTGGTTAAGCTTGTTGCTCATGCTCGTGAAACACATGCTATTGACTATTATCTGGGGTTCGAGTTTGTGTTAAATGTTAAAATAGCCTCCAGTCTCCTCACTAATGTTGGCGGCTTGAAGATCCTGCTGGTGTTTTTTTTGGCTGTGACATACTTTTGTTTTTGTAGATAACAGTGTGTCATACGGTGCCAGAAACCACATGAGGAAGTCTATGTGAGATTACTGAACAGCTCCATATGGATGAAGGGATGAGGTTTGCTTATTGTTGGGATATAAGCTTCCATTACTTACTAGCTACATGTATAGCTGGGCAATATGACAATATTTATCACTACCGTGATAAATTACATCACAGTGTGTCACAATATGCATTTCTTGCATATCATGGAATCACTTCCCAACAGCATAATTAATCCTGTTTAATTGGGTTTAGTGCAGCACCATGTGTGAAATGTTGAATAGAAGTAATTGGATCCATAGATTTGGTAGTATTTTTAATTGTGTCACTACTTTGACCATCAGAGACTATTTAAAAGAGATACACATGGAGTTTTAAAACGCTGTGTCCACTCACCGTCCACTCTATTAGACAGTCCTATGTTGTTGGTCCACCTTGTAGATGTAAAGTCAGAGATGATAGCTCATCTGTTGCTGCACAGTTAGCATTGGTCATCCTCTAGTCCTTCATCAGTGGTCACAGGACGCTGTTGGCTAGATGTTTTGGTTCTCAGTCCAGCAGTGACACTGAGGTGTTTAAAAACTCCAGCAGCACTGCTGTGTCTGATCCACTCACACCAGCACAACACACACTAACACACCACCACCACGTCAGTGTTACTGCGGTGCTGAGAATGACCCACCTCCCAAATAGTACCTGCTCTGTGAGGGTCCATGGGGGTCCTGACCACTGAAGAACAGGGTAACAAAGTATGCAGAGAAACTGGACTACAGTCTATAATTGTACAATCCAAATCCCCCAAAGTTAGATAGCTTTACTTTCGAGTCAAACAGATATTAAGTTTTCCTTTTTCTGCAGGAACATATATTCAACTGATAATGACACAAAAGCCTCTGACACTGATTATATATCCAATCTATCGGTATTTATTTTGTCCAGCCTTTGCTTTTGTGCACTCTACTGCCACTTTAACTCCCATCTATTCGGTCTTAAAACCAACCAGTTCCAGCTGCCCTCCCAACAAAAAGCTGCTCCATGACACTAACATTTATACACTCACCTACTCATAAATTGAAAAAAGAGGAGTTTACAAAAGTTAAGAATAATGACTAAAAGCTGCTGAAACAACGGGCCTCCTAACAACCACCTGGAAGACCTGGTAGACATCAAAACTACCACCATCAGATAAACAGCACTTGATCTTTTGCTTCAGATCTGAAAACATCCACAGGTGTTTCTGTCCATCCTTCCACTGTGAGAAGACGACTCAGCGCTGTGGGTCTGAAAGGATCCGTAGCTGTCAAGAACCTCACTGAGAAAAGGAGACGGACACATTAAACAAATAAGCAGAACAATGGACTGACCACCCCAGAGTCCAGACTTCAACACCACTGAATGTGATTGATTACTTCAGAAAATGATCAACCAGCTTCTAAAACTAAACTTTGGAGGTGTGTCTGAAGATTTCTTTGAGAAACTGAAAGTGCAGAAAAGCGGAAGCTGTAATAAAGAGAAAGAGTGACACACTAAATACTGAATAAGTAGGATTACTATTATATTGAGGCTTCTGTGTAATTTTCTGTTTCCTTATGCTGAAAAACAAATAACCCGTACTTCATGGCTGTTTTAACAGTGTGTTTTCATTTAGCAAAGTGGGTAAAGACATATTTAATATGACTATTTCATTTGTTTATTTGTTTTTCCCCATTTGCTGTGCATTCCTTCTGAGTTAGCTGGGGCATTATGGAGCTGTTGAGTTGAGGTCTAGGCTTTAGAGAGCATGTCGTCACCCTCTCCTGCTGCGCTGAAGCACTTCAATCAGCAGCACAGCTAGAACACGGCGGCCCTACCTGCGCGCCCTGATCCGCCGTTCCCACGGCAACATAACACCATGGAGACATGCGGCCCTTGACAAGTTCAAAAACACACCTGGAGAATGTGATGAAAGGAGAAGTGCAGCGCGAGAGAGCTTGGGGCACCGAGACCCTACTGATCAGCTCTGCGGTCAGAATCAGCAGGCAGCAGGAAGCAGACGCAGGAGACTGTGATCTGAAAAGAAGGGGTCAATGTGGATGTTTCAGTCTGGGAATTAGTTCTTCTGGATGCACTGTGTTTATTGCAGATTTCTAAAAAGTTACATTATAGGCTGCGAAAGGAGTGTATACACCAATCAGGCGTAACATTATGACCGCCTCCTTGTTTCGACGCTCATTGTCCATTTTATCAGCTCCACTTACTATATAGGTGCACTTTGTAGTTCTACAATTACAGACTGTAGTCCATCTGTTTCTCTGCATACTTTGTTAGCCCCCCTTTACCCTGTTCTTCAGTGGTCAGGACCCCCATGGACCCTCACAGAGCAGGTACTATTTGGATGGTGGATTATTCTCAGCACTGCAGTAACACTGACGTGGTGGTGGTGTGTTAGTGTGTGTTGCGCTGGTGCAAGTGGATCAGACACAGCAGTGCTTTGAAGCTTTAAAACTTTAATAATTGCCACCAAGTGGCGATAATTGCACTTCTTTGCTGTTGTTGGACATTCCTAGATTTTGTTTACATCAGAAAAGAACGAATGTTGCGTGACAATTTCAGTCAGAGATTAATCCACCAAAAACACGGTCATCTTTTCAGCTAAATGACATCATAACAAGGTACGTTATCACATTATGGCAGCCAAATTTACGCCACGCTTGTCTTTCCTCCCCAGAGCCTCATGCCGGCTTTAAAATCGCTTTCAACATGTTTGACGCTGACGGCAACCAGATGGTGGACAAGCAAGAATTTCTAGTGGTAAGAGAATGTACATCTTTCAGCCGTCGAATGTCTGAATCTGACTCATCCCCTGTTTATGATGACCTCATCAAATCACGTCCATCAACACTCTTGCCCTGAGATACCTCTTGAAAGCAGGCCTCTGAGAAGCCTAGCCCACTATGCCTGGACGCCAACTCCAAATAGAAAATGACTGTGAATGTACTTAAGATATTACTGACTTCCATATATGTTCATGTTGATTGATCACTGAACTTATTATGTTGTAAAACCCAAAAACCTGAGCACCCCATGTCCTCTCTTCTAGCTACAGGAAATCTTCCGGAAGAAGAACGAAAAGAGGGGAAGGAAGGGGGACACAGAGAAGTCAGCCCAGCTGGTAAGAAGAAGGCACTTCAGAAGATCAGAGGAAGGGTCAGCTGGGTGGTGGAGGTCAGATCTGAAAGGGAGATCAGGTTAGGAAATGGCTTTCGGAGCTGGAAGTTGGATCAGGAGATAAGCGTGGAGTTAAGAGATGAGTCGTAGATCAGGAGGCTGCTGTTGAATCAGGAGGTGGGTGTTGAGATTGAGTGATGGATTGAGCCAGGATATGGGCACTGGGTCAGAGCATGGATTTTGGAACAAGAAGTAGGTGTTGAGTTGAGTATTCAGAGGGAGAACATTGCGTTCAGAGATGTTGGGTCTGGAGTTGATTGTTGGATGTGTGTCAGGAGATGGGTGATAGTATACAAAGGTGGCTGGGCTGCTGCCCAACATCTTATGGTGCATTCAGATGGTCTACGTAAACCTGTAATTTTACCACAAGGAGGTTGAGGTGAAATAGGTGATGAAGTCATAAATAAGGCCAACACAACCCAAGCTGCAACCCAATTATGACGTATCATCAGCCAGAACGTTCTCTGCTACCACAAATGGATGTGCTTTTGCCAATTTTGATATTCAGATAATATGAATGGATATTCAAATATTCAGATTTTTAGCAGCACACTGACATACATAGGAAAACATGTTTTATTCTTCAGTAATAGCCAAGGGAGTCAGTCAGATTTGTGTTGGGTAAGTAGCAGAGACTGCCCCTTAAGATGAGCTAATAAGCTGATGCTAAGCTAACTGATACATTGGATGCTGATCAGGTGCTAAAATGTTAGTTTGTCCGAGAAATGTCTTTTGACTGTTTCTGGTTCAAGCTTTCATGAGCTGGAGTAGATAGCCTAGTGGATAAGTCACGACAGAGATTGCCAATATGTAGCAAAGTGTAATATATCTACTCACTTGCAAATCTAAGTGAAATTGACACATTTTCAGTCTTGTTAAAACAAAAAATCAACATTCAAATGTTTGAATATTGGCACCTTGAGTGGTCAAGTAGTCGAGTACCAATGCACATTTCTAACAGCTTACAAACACAGTAGACCAAGCTTGCATTGGTCCATTATAGCAAATGTACATGTTGCTCACATTAGAGTTGGGCAGTACGTTCTTAAGAAAGATGGTTCTTCAAGAGTTTTTCAGTAAAGGTAATGGTTCTGTTTACAACCATGAGTTCTATATAGAACCACGTCATGCTTAAATGGCTCTTTGCATGGTGAAAACCTGAAAACCTTTTTGAAAATGGTTCTGTAAAAGGGTTTTGTTATTGCTACAAGCTTGACATCGTTACAATAGAAGAACCCTTTTTGGTGCTACATGACATTTTTCAAAAAGCTTTTGTATAGAACCGTATACAACACATTCTCCATCAGTCTGAAGAAACATTTCAAAGAACCATTTAGGCATGCAAATGGTTCTGTATAGAGCTCATGGTTCTAAATATAACTATTGCCTTTACTAAAAACTCTTGAAGAACCATTTTTTTAAGAGTGAAAAGTAATAAAGTATTTAAAAATTATGCTAATATTTTAAAACAATGACAGCATTTCAAAATTATGATGTGTCAAATTTCTATTCAACCTTTAAACGGCTTAAAAAACGTTCCATCCATATATGTTTTTGCTCACTGATTGGTGGTGTGGGAGGCTTACAGATAAAGGTAAAAAGAAACTAAGCATGATAGTCGCTCAGTGACAGATAAGAGCTACACTCACCATAGAACACGTTTGATTTTGGCTTTCACTTCAACACCAGTCACCCAACTGTGTGCTATCCTCTAAACGGGTGTCATTTTAGCATCAGTTAGCTGGAACCAAACCTGTGCTGGTGTGTGTGGCACATTAGGCCAGCTAACTAAGCTCTTGTTAGCTTAGACAAAATGCTACAGTACAGAACAGGTTTGATTTCAGCTTTCTGTCATTTCAGCACCAGTTGCTCCTCTTTTGGTCTCCAGACAGTAGTTTTTATTATCTACACTTGTGTCAGCAGAGAAGCAGTTCGTCAGAATCAAACCTGTACTGTGGTGTGCAGGACCACTCGCTAGGCTAATAAGTTAGCCAATCAGGCTAAAGATCCAAATACCATAAAACAGGTTTAATTTCACCTTTTGGCCCCTTCAGCACCAGCTGTTCGACTTCACTCTGTAAGATTTGAGTCATTACCATCTAAACTTTAGTTAGCCAGAATCACACATATCATGCTGGCTAAGCCAATGCTAACCAGCTCCTCTGTCCTGGTTAGCAGCACTGTTTAACCTTTAGCAATTGTTAGACGGATTTTTGACTTTTACTGAGTGATACCTTGAAAACTGTGCACTGTGTTGGCTTATTTGTTGACCATGTAAGCCAACAACAATTTCTGATTTTAAAATAATGCAGGACAAGATGGCATAAAAGCAGAACTAATACTGGACGAAACGGCCTTTAACGTCACTTATGACACTTGTGACGCTTTATGCCTCCCACCCCTCCAGCAAACCATGTACCACAGAAATATTTGGAGATCTGAAGGTATGAAACAATTGATATGGCCCACCTCTAATATGATGAAACTATCAGTTGCTGAATGCCACCCCAACAACCGGTGGTTACGAATTGGTGACAGTTTTCTGACTTTATGAATGCACCATTATGGTCTTTTTAGATGACGTTCTCACTGAGATGTCGAGTCATTTGCTGTTTACATCCTGTATGTATGAGATGTTGGTTTGCTTGAGCATTCAGAGCCAAGAGTCCAGAGGAGGATAATGTGTGGTGTGCATCAAGGAAAGGATCCAGAATGGCTGCAGTCCTCCAGTATTTCATGGATGGATGACATCTTTCATGAGCAGATGGTGTAGGACCATGTAAACAAGAGGCTCTGAGGAGGAGATAAAAGGGACCAGTAGAGTTCTGCAGCATTAACTTCGCACACACTTAACAGACTGATGTTTTTTTCTACTTTGACTGAGGAATGTTGTTTAAACTGATATAAATCCCAAACGACTTTGGTTATTCTACTGCGGAGCGAGAGAAATACCTTTTTGCTATGTGTGTATATTTTCTTGCCATGGTAACTAACATCAGTGCCATTGTGGTTTGCTGAATGAAGAGTGAATATTTTCACTGTTATTTTAAGCGTGTTAGCAATCCAGCCAACACACAGAGGATCATTATCTGCGATATATTAGCCACACTCTGCTATAAAAGTGGCTGTTTGTCTTTGTAAAGCTTCAGAAAAGTGCATTTTAGTGAATTCATAACGCCTATTCCATTCAACCTAATCAGGAATTCAATGGGGAACCCTCAGGGCCTTCTAAGGTCTATGCCTATTGTATTTAAACTCTGCACGTATTGTAGTAATACAGCGACTTTGGAAAGGAAAAGGCAGGAGCACGAAGCATCTCAGAATCTTAATGGCAGCTGGTGTACACTTACATCATGTAGCTACAGTTGCTTGGTGGCTATTGAATGGAATAACACATCTAGAAACAGCAGGAGCAAAAAATGTGGCTACCTACCTAATTAATTGTGTACCTTAGGCTGCAGAATTAAATTAGGGGTTGGCACTCATACAGACTACTGTAATTAACACTAGAGCAAGAGTTTCTCAGCATTTATGAGGCTACACATACAACTCAGTCTCCACGATGCAGTGAATTCTTTAATGTGTTGGAAAAATGTTGTGAGAAAAGGTCTTCTTGAAGTTCTAGATATGCCACTAACTCTTAATGCAAGCCGTAGTTTAACCAAGCTTCTGTTAGTTGTTAGGAGTGGAAAACAGCAGCAGAAGCTCTATGACAAGACTCTTTACTGAAAGAGTTACTATACAACTGATACATACAAGGTATAATATAAGTTAATGCTTGTTATAAACTCCACATAAAACATACAAAATGTCTTTTACAGGCTGCAAATGTCTGTTTTTAGTAGTACACAGATACTATAACAGTCACAAAATATCCATGTGCACCAGCATTAGCTGTTATAAATCATAAGGAATTGGTTTATTCAGATTTTTGTTCTGTATTATGTCAGTTGTTAATCTAAAAGGCCTTCAGTCCAGCTCTTGAAGCCCTAACCAATAGATAATCTCACTTGGCTCTACCTATATTCTCCAGAAAGAAAAAAAATATACTTTTTCTGTTGGGTATTTCAAGATTTAACCTTTCGTTTCCAACTAAAATGCTAAGAGTGTTACTACAGTACTTGATGAGTTTAAATACAACAAGCATTACAATTCTATTGAATAGAAATGAACAAACAACTACAGACCTGTATTTTTCAGTTCTCAGAAATCATCTGGCCTTCCCTGAAGGCCTAAAAGGCCCAGAGGGTTGGAGCATGGATAGGCCATTTATGAAGTCAGATCTGAGTATCAGTGAAAACCTGCTACAGGAGTTCCCAACTAAGGCCCATTTTCCCAAAAGCATCTTAGTGTTAAAATTATCTTAACTGGTAGAGAGAGCGTTCAGGGTGATGCTTGATCTTAAAAATAATATTTGTGGCGGGATGCTTTTGGGAAACCCAGCCCTGTTCAATTCTGTTTGCCTAATAAATCTATTAAGGGCCCAGAACTTGAAAAGACACTGTGGTAATAAAGGCAGTGGTTTGTCCCATTCGGCTGAATTCATTCTACCTGAGAAGCATCGTAGGGGGTCTCTGCAAGAAAAGAAGTGTAAATGTTTCCCTTGTCTTGTTTAGCCACTTTCTCTCCTTGCATGTTCTAACCTGTTCCTCTCCTTCCTCCCTTCTCTTCCTCTTCTTCCACCTCTCCGAACACTGTGGCCTCTCGTCCGTGTGTGTAGAGCATGCAGCTCTATGGATATCAGGTTGCCCCCGTCAACAGCGTATGTATCTCCCTGGCCAACCCTGAGCCCTTTGACCTCTGGCCTCTGTGTTAGATGTGAAATTTGGGGTGGGGTGGGGTGGGGGGGTATGGTGGGAAAAGAATAGAGAGTGCATTAGAGTGTCACTACCTGATCTGCGTCCCCAGTCTGATTTGTACCACAGTAATCTGTAATACAAAGCAATATAATGTTATAAAATGAATAATATGAATAGAACTGAGGTTCCCAACCACTGACGTGCAGACCTGTACTGAGCCAGAGGTCAGTCGATACTGGCAGTGTCTGTAGGTTGCTGCTAGTCAACCTGTAAAGTTGAAATAATATAAAAGTGTTGGGTCTGATTTCAGGAGTTTTTCTGACCATGTCACACGTCTTTACATATTAATATCACACACAGGCAAGAGGTCTGGCTTGATGTTTAGGCCTCAAATACAAAAGCAACGATATGCTGATGAAGATATGAAACAGAACAGTAGTAGACAATTCACTTATGTCCTCGAATGTCCTTCACCTAAGTTCTCTTTGAAAACTCTTTCAACGAGCTCGTAGTCATCGGATGTATCCGCTTCAGGGTCCGAAAAACAACCCGAGTTACAAAACCCCCACGTTGCGTGCAATTACAGAGATCCCAAATGTCCAAAACTTACGAAGGGGATATTTACTGTAGTTAACATTATAATGTTTTTTTTTTAATTTAAGGTTTATTCTTGAGCAAGAAGCCCAATAAAACAATACCAGGATAAGAATATAATGCATACCGATTACTTCACCATAGGAGACAAACAGCAAATCCTAGGCTAATTATTCACCAAGGCATCATCAATTCGCGCTCCCCGAGTAATCCACGAAAACCATAGTGGGCTGTGGTTTGGTCAGCAATGTTAAAAAGGTTGGGAACCCTCGGGATAGGGCACCGTTGCAAAATACAGCATAGTGAACTCATACATGACAATGGTACAGATCTACGGCGCAAACCAGGCATGGGACGCAAATGTAAACAGTGAAAAGAGACAGCCTCTGGGACTGGTGAACACAAGTGGCGCAGGGAGACTTGACCTCCAGGGTCAAATAAAAGTTTCAACCAAACCTAGGAAATTTGATTCTGATTGATTTTTTTTTAACGGTAACAAGTCCGTTGCAAACTTCATCAGCGGGTGGGTGGCGGAGTTGAAGGGGGTGGGTTTGACTGATTCTAAGTGGAGATGGACTGAAAGGAACTGTGGCTGCAAATGTGTTTTCTATTGAGCCAGCACCGTGAGTCTTTCAAAGCACTTAGACTGACTCTGTGACCTTTCCCCACACACACATACACAGACAGAAGCTGAGCTGGTGGTCCCTCTGTGATGTTTGGACAAAGTGGCTTCCAGGGGGAAAGGGAGGGGAGAGGAGAGGCAGGGTGTCTAGTGGAACAGGGATACAAAAAGAAAGGTGCATGTAAGAAAAAGACCCAGTGAAACTGTTTGGCATTCTGCACAGATCTGACCATTGTGGGGACTTCCAATTAAAATTCTTCTAGCATTGTAAGATAATGGCGATAGAAGTAAACGAAAGAAGAGTTCGCCTGCTGGGCTACTGAAAAACACATTAGTTTCACGTTGATCGTTTCACATTTGCTCCAATGGGGCAAAACTCATTAGCTTCATGTTGATAATTAGTCCAGATTCAAGTGGGGCATATTTCATCCAAATTAGCCTACAACTTGAAATTTCCTGAAAAATGGATTACATTAATGAACCTCTAGTCGGTTTGCAGCAGAGATTTGACAGATGCCACTTTAAACTTTGTTGACAGTCGATGCCGTTGAGAATCATTTTGCCTGAAGGCTCTTTAATAAACATCTTTAAACATCTTTAATAAATCTCATCTAACCTCGATTAGCATAAAACTAACAATACCTCTTCTTTTTTCCCTTTGTTTTATGCATCCCTTTCTTCTTTTGAGCACATGGCTAGCCATGCTAACTCGCTAACAGCTGTGCCTGTGATGCCGAACCTTCCGCAGGCGATGAAAAAAGAGAGCCAAGAAGAGTTTGTGGCACGGAGCTACTGGGACATGTTGAGACGGGGCGCCAGCCAAGCCCTCTTTTCTGACCTGGCAGAGGTACAGCTTCAGCCCTCTGTCCCAACACACTCTCATCCCTCACTTTTTTTTTTATTTATCCCTCACTTCCATGTGTCACGGATGTTAACCAGCTCCTGGAGGACGCACAGTGGAGTGAAGTGGTTCCCAAGCCTTGTCCTGGAGTACCCTTGACTGGCATATTTTGGTGTCTAACCTGCCCTAACACACCAGATCCAACGAATCAGCTTTTTGGCAAGCCCTTCCTGAAATTGGTATATTAAAACTGGGAAAACATTGCATTGTGCTGGGCAGGGGTGCTCAAGGACCAGGGTTGGGACAACTGATGTAGGGTTCTTCCTACCCTAACACAGTGGTTCCCAACCAAGTCCTTAGGGACCCCCATATTCAACATTAGGGATGTTTTTACAACAGGAACAATGAACCTTTTCAGGAACTATGGAACTTCTCGGGCACGTTTCCCAGACATGGATTAAGCTTAGTTTTTAGGCTAAATTGAAGTGTCCATGGTGATCATGGTGAAACTGGCCTTTAGACACATTTCCACTGGGGGAACCAAGGCCCATTTCAGTTTCTGGGCCATAGATCTAAGAACCTCTTTATATCCTACTGCAGAATAGATACTTTTCTGTGAACCCAGAACTGTTGAGGTAGAGCCTACAATACTAAGCTTTGCTGGCTGATTAAATGCAAGCCTCACAGAAGCCTCTTATCTGACAAAAAACAAGCAATGAAGAACTTGTGAGAGTTAGAGGCAGAGTAAACAAGAATGGACATCTAGTGATTAAAGCATTTTTAGCATGTCCTCATCAACATCTGCATATCTACTCTACACAAAGCAAAAGAACAGAAGTATAATATTATAACTTATAAATAACTTCGATCTCTGCCTCCTCATTTGCTGTGTTGCTGTACTTTTGCCTTGTGCTCAAGTAACGGTTGACATTAGGTACGTTTACCGCAGGAACCAGGAGCTTTTTCAGGTTCCCAGGGACTTCTAGGCACATTCCCTCCGGAAGAACCATTGTCCAGTTCGCATCTCTTCTGTTATTTTAGTTTATGTCCCAGCTCCCAACACTGCCGTACCATGGATCCAACTCTTGATTGCTTAGTACAGGTGGGTTGGGAACTGCAGTGCAGTGGAACTGCAACACAGGAAGTGTAAGAACTGCACAGTCTTGTTCAGAAACATCATGGACCTCTTTAGTTCCTCAGAAACTTCCAGAACCTTGGTGGAACCTCTGCCCCAGCTCCCAACACTCTTGTACCATGGATCCAACTCTTGATTGCTTAGTGCAGGTGGGTTGGGAGCTGAGAGAGGACAAAAGTATGGACTACCTGAAAGTACCTGAGGACTACATTGGGAAACACACCTGATTCAGCTCAGGCAAACCCTCTGTTGAGTTGAATCAAGCATGTTAGGGCAGGAGAAGCTACAATCTATATAGTGTCCTGGGCCTTCAGGACCAGTAGTCTTTTTACTCACTTCATTCTTTTCACACCTCTCTCTTGCATTCATCATCCATTTGTTTTTATCTTCTCCATTCCTCAGTTTTTACCCTCTTGTTGGACCCCAGAGGTTGCACCAATGTGGCAGTCCCATGGAAGGACCTAGAACTACTTTTAGGAATTCAGGGTATCGCTGTGCTTGTAATTTGATGATGTCTACGTTGCTTTGTAGTTTTATGTGTAATCCTTGTGTTAGGTCAGTCTTGTACTATATGCCATCTTGTCTACCCATAATTGTGGCTTCATTTGCAAGTGAATTACTGTGTTAATTTCGCGAAGGATGTTTTCCAGGGTTCTACCTAGGGCTTCAAAATGTGGAGTTATGAAATAGCTACAGGTTGGGAGGAAGACCATGCCCGAAACTTCTCCTCCTTCTAATCTAACACCCTATAAAATTCTACCTTTCGTTTACTGTGATTAACTTTTCACACCCCACCACCCCCATATCTTCCCCCTGTTTCTCAGTCCTCTCTCAGTCCTAGCTCTCTTTATCAAACAGATATTGCAAAGTGTTATATATTGCAAAGTCTTCTGTGGTTGTAATATGTAGCAAAATAACTGCAATACTAATATATTATATTATCAGTAATATGTGTCGTTGCTACGTTTCATTCCAAATATCCAAAGAATCCAGTTTCATATATCATTTCTTTCCATTTTTGCACAATGTTGCCTTAAGGCAACATACTCCAAAAAGGACGTCCACATGTATTATTTTTCAAAAATTGTTTGATTTTAGTTGTCAGGCCCATTTTATGCAAGAAAAGTAAAACAAACACGTTTGAAACTTTCTCCTAAAGTGTGCAATATTAGCAGTAATAGCTATTTGTGAGCAAACTCCAGTCTAATGGCACAGCAGAGCTGTACATCTGCTCTTTATTTACCCAGTCAGTTACTCACAATGAGTGTGAGTGTGTATATAAGAGAGAGAAAGAAATAATAAATCAGACTCTGGTGTTTCTAATGACACAGCAGTTACTGAAGGCTATTTGCACATGTTTGTGAGTGGCTAATGAATGGGCGTGAGGTGGGAGGAGTGTCTGGGTATCTGTGCGTATGTGCAAGTGTCCAAGTGGACGTGTCTTACTCATCTTAGAGGCTGGAATCACTAATCACTGTTTTTCACCTGTGCGTTGAGATCAAAGCCTTAACCCCCCCCAGGCTGCTGTCTCCGCCACTCATGGGCGTGGCTCCTGGTGATCATGTGATTATGACTTCACACTAATGGTTTCCAGGAACTGTGACATAATGCCGGGGACGTCACTTTTCCGGGAGACGGAGGGATGTAAAAAAAACAGAGAGACAGACGCGGCTGAATGAATAGAGAGGGAAGTCCGTGTTGGCTGCTGAGGGACGCTGAGACTCTGATTAATTTAGCCATTAAGTCTTTAAGGGAGAAACACGACTGTAAAAAGCCCATTTGGCAGCATTTATAGTTCCAGAGAGCCTTCGTCTGGCCACTGAGCAGAGCCATTCCAAACAGCGTGCTTTAATTAGCTTTTATAGATATAGTGCTGTTTAAGGTGCTCTGCTGCTCAAATGTGTGGAATCACTTATCATATCAGTCAAATTTTAATTGTACTTTAGTAACAAGAGGAAGTTACTAAATGATACTACATACTGTTATTGACTGATCACTTTGATGTTTTGTCGTCTTGAGATTTGATCACGGCTTTTGGAATACGAGGCATTCTGGGTATTCATATTATCATAACTTTATTCTGGATATTAAATTTATTACAGTTTCATTCTGGATGTTACACTGATAGCAGTTTCATTCTGGATATTCATTTTATTAAAACTTCATTCTGGATATCACTTTTATTAGAACTTCATTCTGTATATTAATTTTATTAGAGCATCATTCTGGATGTTAATTTTATCAAAACTTAATTAATCAATTTGATTGAAATTTCATTCTAGATTATAATTTCATGAGAACCTCGCTCTGGATATTAATTTTCTTAAACTTCATTGTGGATAAAACTTTATTCTGAACATTACATATATTTAAACTTCTGAATGTTACTTTTATTAAAACTTCATTCTGAATATGAATTTGTTAGAACATCATTTTGGATGTTAATTTATTAGAGCCTCACTATGGATATTAATTTTAGTAAAACTTCATTCTGGATATGACTGAACTTTATTCTGGATACTACATGTATTAAATCTTATTTCTGGATATTAACTTCATTCTGCCTATGAATTTCATTAGAACTTCATTCTGGATAATGATTTTATTAAAACTTCATTCTGGATATCACTTTTATTAGAACTTCATTCTGGATAATAATTCTATTAAAATTTCAATCTGGATATTAATTTTATTAAAACTTCAGTCTGGATATTAAATTTCTCAGAACATCATTCTGGATATTCATTTTTCTTACAATTTAAATCTGAATATTAATTTTATTTGAATCTCATTTTTGGATATTAATTTGATTAGAACTTCATTCTGAATATTATTTTTTTTAGAATTTTATTGATGTTCTGGAGCTTTCTCCATCATTTTAGATTCATCTACATCTATGTTCATCATAAAGTTGTCCAGGACTGTCATGTTACCATAATTCTATGCATTTATGTGCAACCAAATTAGATTTAAATCACTGAAAACATGTCCGTGCTTTTGAAAGGTAGTCTGTGCTGGCTGTTACTGTTCATGGCACTTTTCTCGACGGACGTTCTCACACCAAACACCATCTGTTCCTGTGCATTGTTTCTGTCTGAGTCCTGTGAGGGTTCAAGCCATCAAATGGAACCACTCTTTTCTCTCTTTGTAACTTTTTTAACGCTTGAAATGGTTTCTCCTGGATAGGATTTTAATCTGGAGGTATAGCAGAGGCATGGACTAAAGCTCTTGTTGGCTTGAATGCACAGAAAGCTCTTGAGGAGAACATGAGGAGTTCTTGCCTGGTTCTACCTACGTTTGGCATGACAGGCTGCTTATGAGGGGTGGGGCCTGGCTGGACCTTTGCTCTATCAATCCATTTGTTTCCAGCCTTTTTTATTATTCCAGCCTTTTGATTATTATGCTAGTGATGTACTGTAGACTCTTTTGTGTCTTATGACACATTTTTATATGCTCTTCAACTCTTAGAAGTCACAAAAATATATTGAAATTTAATTGTAATTATGTCGTATTGAGAGCTCATTGAACCAAGTGGAGAAACTTTATCAAAAGTCAAAAATGTCAGTGAGAAATCACCAAAGGCCTCCCAACTGACCATGTCTAATTTGCTTAAACCTTTTAGAAAATAATGTTACTATTCCCAACAGACTATGTACAAAATTTTAGGCTTGTACCTTTATTAGTTTCTGAGATATGAAGGTTTTAAGAAGCCTTCATTTTTTTTCTTAAAATTCGTGAAATGGTAAATTTTGATAAGTCATAACTTGTAAACTATTGATTCTAGGTACATGAAATTTTCAGAGATAAATCTTTGGTTTGACATCGGTTGAAGTACTAAAATAGAATACAGCAGTGTATGTTAGCCATTTTATGGCTTGTTGAAAATCTAGAATTTCTTTCTTCTTTTTTTTTTCAGTGCATTAGAGCAACTTTGACGGTCTATATCTCCACAGTGAAGCATATCTGATCATTCACATTTTGGTTTTTATCACTTATATGAGAGCATTCTTTTTCCAAGTAGGGATTAATCATAAAGTAATAATGATTTCTGATTTATGAGCTATTAAAAAAGTTGGTGTCTTGAGCCAGATATTTACATACATGGATTATTGTATTGAATTACAGACATTAATGTAAAATAAACATTGTGCTATGCAAAGCCTTTATTATTTCAAGACACATAGTTGCTAAAAGTGTACTAAAATATCAGTAATAAATACCAAATTCTGATTTGATATGCTTCAGTGTGGAGATATATTGGATTTTCAGCAAATCATGGACTGGCATACAAATATATTTAAAAAAAAAAGACTTTTCAAAGTTTAGACCTTTTATTGTAGCACTCAGTTTAAAGCAAAAAGTAAAGTCACATCCACTTCCAACAGCCTCTGAATCTCAGAGGCTAATGAAGATACAGCCGTATGCAAAATGTTTTGGTGCCAAATGACACAATAGCATAATAAAAGTATACTAGCTCTAACATACTTCTTAAGTTTGCACAATTCTCAAAAATATTTAAAACACACAAAAATAAAAAATAAATAAACCATTGTTGCTGTACCAAAATGAGATCTTGTTAGAAAGATCTGGATAGAAAGTAGCTGATCTTCATAATTACAGTGAGCGAGAGAGATAAGCATACAGACACAAAAGAAGGAGAGAGGAAGGAGAAAGAAAGAATTAGACACAAAAGAGGAAGATTCTGTCTGCAGGAGGAAAAAGATGGAGTCTATAAAGCGCTGCGTCTGTTCTGTCGGCTTGGAAGTGCACATTTTATGCACAAATACTGTTTATATTCTGAATTCAACTTTAAAAATAATCATTTAAAATAATACCTAAAACATAGCTTGTGCAAAAATGAGACATTTTATATTTTATGTTTTTTAAATTATTTCCAGTATGTTAAACCTTAAAAAATTATTCAGCTTTTAAGCTCAACAAAGTGGCTAACTGGGTTAGCTTGAAATTCTGAGTTTCTTTGAACTTATAATATTAATTTAACACAAAAATAATTTGTGTTTTACATCTGTTAATATTACAAGTTCAATTAACCCAAAATGTCAAGTTAACTCACATTTGTAAGTTTAAAAGCTGCATATATTTTTGCAGTTTAGAAATTAAATATTTATGTATAGATAGATGTTAAACAGAAATTGCGCACTAAAATGTGCAGAAAAAGGCCACAATATGTGTAAATTTCTCTTGAATGTAAATGTAATTTATTATATAGCTATGCAATTAATGATGTAATTACATTTAAATAGCATAATAAAAGTATACTAGCTCTAACATACTTCTTAAGTTTGCATAATTCTCAAAAATATTTAAAACACACAAAAATAAAAAATAAATAAACCATTGTTGCTGTACCGAAATGAGATCTTGTTAGAAAGATCTGGATAGAAAGTAGCTGATCTTCATAATTACAGTGAGCGAGAGAGATAAGCATACAGACACAAAAGAAGGAGAGAGGAAGGAGAAAGAAAGAATTAGACACAAAAGAGGAAGATTCTGTCTGCAGGAGGAAAAAGATGGAATCTATAAAGCGCTGCGTTTGTTCTGTCGGCTTGGAAATGCATGGCCTGTTACACCTTGATGTGCCTTTCTTGGCTTGTCGTCTCTGTGTTCGTCCTTCCAGATTTTACTTGAGGCATGTCTGTGTGTGCATTTGTCTGTTATCTGTTGGCATTTTGTTGCACTATGGTGGTCTGTCTGTCTTTGTATGGGCCGCACTGGCCCATCGATCTTTATACTAGGGTCCGACCGATATACCGTTTGAAAAATAAAATCTGCCGATATTAAGGCTCTACAGTATTATTAATATCGATGAAAGTCCTGCCAATAAAGCACAGATAATGACTTTTTATTGCTTCAGTCGTATGCAAAGGTTTGGGCACTTAGAGACAAAGGACATGTTTTGTTGATTTTCTAAGTGAAAATAAGTTACACATTCTCTAAAAAGAACATGCTTAAATAAGCCATTTGTCTGCTAATTTTATTGCATAATTTCTTATATTTTTTTATTTTATGCTTATTTTAGTTTATTTGCTGAGTTTAACATGTTGCGAAAAATATAACAAAATAAAAAATTTGCTGTAACTTTTGCACAGGCCACATATCATTTTTTTTTTTTTCCGTTATGTTAAATTCAGCAGATAAACTGTAATTATGTATTAAATGTGCAGGGGTGCCCAAACTTTTGCACACAACTGTGTGTATTTCTAGTCTTCTTTGTAAGTTCATCATCATCAGTGTCCATGTTTTTTAATAGATTGTGTTAAGACTTCAGGTTTTTATTGTTTATTGTTGAGTTTACAAAATTTGACAGTTGATAGTCATATTAGTAACTAAAGCTATTTTTCATGTTTGACCATATGAAATTTTATATATATATTGGCTGATACTGTCAGTTTTTTGCTCTTTAAAATCGGTATCAGACAAAAAATGATTACATCGGTCGGGCCCTACCTGTTCACACACGTTGGACTGACTCTCAATGCTGTTTTCATCCAACGTTGCTGGTATAAAGATCGGTCTATCTGCTGCAGGAGCTGCTCAAACCCGATTTTTGTTAAGATATCAGCTCAGTAGAGCTGAACAAAGCGATGCGCTGATTGAAGCAGCCCTGGCTGGCACCGTGGACGGCTCTGCGGCCTTTGATTCACAGCTTTATTATGCTTAACTGTGGTTTTGTCAGTCACTGCTTTGCTTTGTGTCTTGTCTCCCGCCCCCTTCGCCCTGTCTGACCAATCACAGCGCACAGATGACGGCATGACGATCGACACGACGCTGCTGGTGCACTTCTTCGGGAAGAAGGGGAAGGCGGAGTTAACTTTTGACGACTTCTACAGGTGCCTGGCACATTATTCTTACCGTATATACTACTGTTCAAAAATTTGAAATCAATGTTTTCAGTGATATGAAACCTATGAAAGCCATTCTCTGTAAGTAGAGGAAAAAAATAGATAATTTTGTTTTGTTTTCTCTTTCTGGCAGCAATATGTCCACAATTTGACTCATTATCTCAAAATAATTACATTTTATCTCAACTTTCAAGTTAGTAAGACAAAATTCTGACATACATTTTTTGACATATTAAGTCTAGACGTCATTATTTCTACACCATAAGTCAAAATTTTGACATGCTGTTGGCAAAAACAGACAAAAAATTACAAGCAACAGATACATGTATGAAATTTTTCTAATGTCCTATTAATCAACAAGTGTGTCAGTAGGAAACAAAAAAAAAGTGTAATACAATATTTATCTTTATTCTTGTAATCAAAATGCTTGAACAAAACATCTAACATATGTTTAGTGTTGAGTATAAATTGTTAAAATATGTTTTTTATTGTGCGCTATATGGCCAAAAGTATGTGGACTTGAAAAGTATGTGCTTCTTGAAATAGGTTTCCATAGCTGAGCAGCTGCCCACAAGATCACTATGCTCAATGCCAAGTGTCGACTGGAATGGTGTAAAGTATGTTGACACTGGACTCTGGAGCAGCAGAAATGTTCTCAATGTTCAATCAAGTTTACTATCTAGCAGTCTGATAGATGAATCTGGGTTTGGAAGATGCCAGGAGAACGCTACCTACCAGAATGCATAGTGCCAACTGTAAAGTTTGGTGGAGGAGGGATAATGAGCTGGGGCTGTTTTTCAGGGTTTGGGCCCCTTAGTTCCAGTAAGGGATTATTTCCAGCCTGACTGAGCCCCTGTGCACAAAGCGAGCTCCATAAAGACGTGGTTTGACGAGTTTGATGAGGAGGAACTCCAGTGGCCTGCACAGAGCCCTGACCTCAGCCCCACTGAACACCTTTGGGATGAATTGCGAGCCAGGCCTTTTCGTCCAACATCAGTGCCTGACCTCAGAAATGCTCTTTTGACTGAATGGGCACAAATTCCCACAAACACACTCCACAATCTTGTGGAACTCTTCCCAGAAGAGTGGAGGCTGTTGTAGTCACAAAGAGGGGCAAGTCTATATTGATGCTCATGGTTTTGGAATGGGATGTCCAGCGAGCTCATATAGGTGTGATGGTCAGCTGTTCACATAATTTGGGCCATATAGTGCAGGTTAATTTTTTGTATAAAACAACAAAAGGACAAGTCATTCCAAGCTTTAGAAATGTGTGCATGTGTGTGATGATAAATTTAGCTTATGAAAGGAACTTGTGTCTTCTCTCTCTTCCTCTCTCTCAGGTTTATGGATAACCTCCAGACCGAGGTGTTGGAGATAGAATTTCTGACTTACTCTAAAGGCATGACCACCATCAGCGAAGAAGACTTTGCCCGGATCCTCCTGCGCTACACCAACGTGGAGGACATCCGTAGCTACTTGGATAATGTGCGCCAGAGCATACCTGACGAAAAGGTACATTTATTACCTTTTTTCACAAATAATTGATACTTCTTCTGTACCTCTGGTGGCACTGTGTGTCTGTTAGGGTAGACAGGGAGGGGGAAGAAGTCTAGCCATCCACAGCTTCCATTTTTTTTCAGGAGACTCACTTTCTAGTTTCTCAAGTAAATCTGCAGACACACCTCCAAAGTTCAGTCTTAGAAGCTGGTTGATCATTTTCTGAAGTAATCAAACCCATTCAGTGGTGTTGAGGTCTGGACTCTGGGGTGGTCAGTCCATTGTTCAGCTTCTTTGTTTGATGTGTCCGTCTCCTTTTCTCAGTGAGGTTCTTCTTGACAGCTACACATCCTTTCAGACCCACAGCGCTGAGTCGTCTTCTCACAGTGGAAGGATGGACAGAAACACCTGTGGATGTTTTCAGATCTGAAGCAGCTTGATTTTCTCCTCTCTCTCAGAGATGAAAGCTTTAAGTGCTGTTTATCTGATGGGGGCAGTTTTGGTGTTGAGCAGGTCTTCCAGGTGGTTGTTAGTAGCCCCATTTTCTCTGCGGCTGTAAATAATTTTTTTTGGCCTCCAGTTTTGGAAACTCCTTATGCAAGTGAATTATCTTACATATAATCTCCTCACAAACGTCTCCTGAACAACGAAGAATTAGGGCTTAATTGCTGTTTTGACTGGACATTAAATAAATGAAGGTTGGGCTTTTGCACAGCACTAGTAATTATCAACAGCTATTGCTGTGAGATGATATGGATGAATATATCACAGCAATATTCTGACCTAGTTTTACTGTGCTGAATCCTTCTTCCACACTCTTCCTATTCTGTTCTTCCTCCTCCTCCAGCCCTGAACCTCCACACACTCTTCACACCTGAACGCACCACTGCTCCGTCAGCAGAGCGTGTGTGTTGTGTGTAACATCAGCTTGTAAGCCGTAGTGTAATCTTACATCTCTTCCTGTCACCTCTGCTCCCTAATTCCACTCTTTTCCTTTGTTCTGTTCTGAAACGCTGGCCGGTGATTGACAGGCCGCTGCCCCTGTAGTATCATGTTCAGCTCAGATAAGTGCCACTCTAGTGAGCGGAGAGCCAGACATTAGTGGTTTCTTCTCAGGGAAGTGCGTGTTTTGGTGCAAACTGGCATGTTTGGCTGAGTCCCTCTGTTCTTTATGAAAGGGCGTTAGTGGGTAATTTGATAAGACTTTCGTTGATGTGCATCTTAACCTCCAGAACTGCTTAATCATGGTTACTAGTCAACTGTGTATGTATATGAATGAAAAAACTAGTAATAAAACTGCTTTAAATCAGTCCTTTACATTTCCAGGTATAAACAAGTAACAACATATATACATTTTGTTAAGGTTTTGTTAGCATACAGTCGCATGCAAAATCATCCCCAGTCAAACGACACATGCTCTACAGGAAATAATCCTGGTATTGTCTGCATAATTTCTATTTATGTATATTTATGCTTAACATATTGGAAGAAAAAACTCAGTAAAATAATGGGTGCCTTAACTTTTGCACAGGCCATGTTTCATATATATTTTTACAAATATGTCAATTTCAGCAAATGAACAGTAATTGTACCTTAACGTGTGTAATCTCAAAAAAGTTTAGCGTCCTCCATCATTTGACAACCTACAGGGAGATTCACTCGAAAGAGGCCTCGAATATTCTGTAATAACTCTTGCTAGGGCGAAGCAATCTGAACCAAACAATGTGCAATGGGCTCCTCAGTATATGGAGCTTTGAACAAGCCAGGATGCTCCTGCGTCGGAGCGATGAGGTAGGCACCGGACAGCCGGCGCAACGTTTAACTTCCATTTGCAACTACCGGGTGCATACCCCCGTACCCCTTCATGTGTCTGGCAGAAAACTGAGATCACTTCCAGCATCGCATGTAATGTAATCGATTACGATACGTCAAGGTATGTAGGGTATTTTTTTGGTTCAGATAGCTTCATTCTAACAGGACTTACAACAGAATATTCAGGGCCTCTTTCGAGTGAATCTTCCTGTATCTCTGTAATCTCTATATAGGGCCAAAAGAAATGGGTCAAAAACGGCTTGTTATATTAACTTAGATTAAAAGTAAAAAATGTTGGCCACTCAAGTGGTGCAACTGTATAAGCAACTGTCAAAGTAACTGTTATGGGTGGTTAGGATGGTTGTCCTTCTCCACCCATCACTCCGTGCAATACTAGCCAACTTGAGCAGCATTGACCAGCATTAGCAGTTAGTGTTCTCCTCCAAGCGTGTTGAGCTGTCCAAAGACACTGTGTTAGCAGAAGATTGAAAAGATGAGGTAGAGCTTCGGGTTTCTCAGAGGAAGCACATGCGATTCTTCAACCTCCCAACTTGGTAACATCATGTAGCAGATGAAAATTGGACACGAATAAATTTGGGGGAGTAAAGAATGTTTTTGCCTTCTCCTGTAAAGTTACCATTTTTGAGATTTTGTTCCAGCAGTGATAATATATGATATAAAAAACCTACACTTACATACAAGAAACATGTTATGCATTGTAGCTTACAGTGAATGCTTTCTGTTTCTGTTTCATGCTTGGAAAGAGACCTGAGGTTTGTGCCCAACGACATGCCGAACCGTTCTACCCTTTCATCCTTCATTTTTGTCATTTTCTTATCTCACATGTTCCTCGGCTGGGTAACATGGGGCGATCACAAACACATCATAGCATGGATTAACATAATATCGGTACACTTTCAGGTTTAAATGCTGCTCCTCTGCTGGATAATATGGAGCAACTGCAGGTCCTTCATGGCATGGAATATAATATCCATAAAAATCTCAACAAAATCTTCACTCAGCAGTTTTTAGCAGCTCTTTTCTCAGTGTCGACCACTGGCCAGAAGAACAGCATGTGTCTGCACATACATTACAGGCCAAACATTACTAAAGCCCTATTGGAGCTGGATTAGTTTTACCTGAGCAGGGGGTGTAATTTGAGTGATCACTGATGAGATTTTAATCTGCAGCATCAGTAATTTTTACATCTGCTCAGTAATAATTCTAGAACGAATATACCTTCTATAATTTGCTGAACTCGAAGCTCCCACGTTAACAGAAGTGCTGCTCCAATCAACATCACAGTAATGTAATAAGAAAACCGGGTAACAGAAAACAGCACCTTCGTTTTTGTTCTTTTTTGACAAAGCTAACAGATAACTGGAGCTTAATTTGACCCAATTCTTTCATCCTCAAGTTCAGGACAAAACTACGGAAATCTATAACATTTTTGGTGATGACCAAATTGGGAGCAGAATATAAATGAAATATTTGGAAAGTTATTATTACTTATTGGGTGGCATTAGGTAAGACACCCACTTTACTAGCCTGATGCTAGTCTAGATAGCACAATGTGGTGCCTGTTGCATAATGCTGGCGCAGATGTCTGCGTGATGATGTTTCGATCCAGGCTATTTGGGGTAGTCTGGGGAAATTACATATATCCTTTATCCTGTATGATTTGGCCAGTCAAATCACTCGCAGATTACATTACCGCACCTCCTCTGGTGAAGCTAATCCTGCTCTAAAAGGGCTTTTACCACCACTTAAACAAAGGGTTAAAAGTGGAAGTGCATGCATGCAGTGACACAAGGGTATTTAGCATGTTACTCTTCCAGTTCTTGGACAGGACAGGTACCAGTAGCATCTCACTGCAGTAATACTTGCGCTAGAGCCTGAATGGAGATCGTCCTGCAGTCTCCATTTGCATGGCAGTTGTAACTCTACGCCGGAGTGCCCTGCCACAGGCCTCTCCTGCTGTATACTTTTATGCTGGATGTAGGAGGGATCAGGTTTTGTTTGGAGGCCTCTGGGAGGCCCCCCGCAACAGACTTCAGGTCCCACAGTGGTATTGAATGGAACCTCCCTCAGTCTTTCGCTCAGGATCCCATGGGGAAGGTTCTAAATCATACCTAGTCTTAGTATCGCAGGTTGTAATGAAGACTCTTCTACGGGTCTCCCAGCGCAAACACATCTGATTTAATGTATCGCCTAATTAGGACAAATTGAATGTAGTGTAAGCAGCTACACTCTCAGTGGACACCTCTGACAAATGGATGTCATTAAACAAACAATTTGCTTGAAAATGCTAACAAGGCTAGTAACAAAGCTTCAGAGGGAGGTTAGCAAGATCTCCTTTTCATAGTAACTGGTTCCCAACTAGCTTTCTACTCTGTGTGCGGCATTAGCTGGAATGTAAATCTAACCTGTTTGATGTCTAAAGTTGGCTTTTTTAGTTGTGCACTGGAACTAAGAGGCTAATGTAGCTAACAAGCAAGGAAAACAAATGCCCTATCGATTAGCACTGTGCTAACTGTATGGCTAAACGATCCAGTTTTATGACGGTACATCATACAGTGTTAGAAACCACATCAGCAAGTCGATTTGAGCTCACTTAACAACATGGTTTGAAGAAAGTAGCAAACTGGCAACGTCGATCAGATCAGATCAGTTGGCTATGTTACAGTCAAACAGCTCCTTACTGATTTCATATAATCTTGCTAGTCTCTCTATTCTAAACTGTATTATGAGGTATTGAAGTGATAAAGCTGGTTCTTGTTTCGATATTTTTCCCAAAAAGAAAAACAGCGTAGCAGCAAATTTACAATGCTAACATGCTAACTAAATTAGCCTGGCGTAGCAGGATGTACTGGCCCAGAAATGGACTTAAAAGATGGCCTTTGGATGATGGAACAGTTCCTGAAAAAAGGCTACACACTTAAAAAAAGGTGGTTCTTTGAGGGTTGTTTGGTAAAGGCCATGGTTCTGTTTAGAACCATGAGTTCTATATAGAACGATTTCATGCTTAAATGGTTCTTTCCATGGTGAAATCATTCTTCAGATTGAAGTTTGAAATTGTTACAACAGAAGAGCCCTTTTTGGTACTATACAGGACCATTTTTAAAAAGACTCTATGTAGAACCATGTACAAGACATTCTCCATCAATCTGAAGAACCACTTCACCATGCAAAGAACAATTTAA